TGCATTCGGGGCACACGCCAAAATTCGTGCAAGCGTTAGAGTTGTGATCGCTTGCAAAACATCTCCAACACACTCCTCGATTTTCCGCTTCAAGTCGTCGGGCTTCTGGTGTGGTGTACCTTTGACAGGTGTGAGGAGAATGTGGTTGTCCACATAAACACAAGTGTTTTGATTTCGAAAAGTGTTTTTCTCTATCGCATCTGGTAGTCTTTTCATCTTGTTGGTTGTTTGGGTAGTAGTTGGTTGGAAAGAGAGTTTCCGTTGTTAGCAAGATTGTCTCTCGCAGTGAAATGATGCTGTCGATGGTGTTCAGGATTTCGCTAACATCAAATGGATCATCTTGTACCGCTTCTTTCTGGATGGCGGTCGTACAGATGGATTCGGGAAATTTGGAAAAGATTATTTGACGCCAAAGTCTGTCTGCGTTCATCTTTGCTCCCGTTTGCTCCAGGTGAATGATCCTTGAGTTGATTGCTTCTAAAGTGATTCGGCAACTTCTCGGATCATCTGAGGCCCTGGGTAGTTTTTCGATCTCGTTTATAAGTATATCTGCCATGTTGGCAGAGCGATCGAAATGTTTCTTCAAGATATCTATCGCTGTCTGATATCTTTCTCCGATGACGGGTATGCAGCTCAAGGTGGCTGCTGCTTTTCCCTTTAGTGCTTGCTTCAGAAAGAGGAACTTGTCAATATCGGATAGGTCTTCGTCGGCGTGGATGAGAGATTCAAACACTGTCCAGAAGCTGTTGAACTCTCTGAAGTTCCCTGAGAAGGTAGGGATTTCTAGCAGAGGCTTCCGGATTTTTATTTGCCTTTCGTTGCGCTGTGGGAGGCTGCTGTTCCAGGTCTGGCCTTCGTCGCTGGCTCCATGACTTGATGTGCTTGGCACACTGGTGAGCAATAATGCAGCTTGATCCTTCAATTCGTTTTGACGGAACTGAACTTTGTTCTGCCACTGCACGACCTTGACTTCCAAATGAAGAGATTCCAACTCCAAGTGTTTGCTGAGTTCTGTCATAAGCTTGTCTCTCTCTTTTTCTTCATTTCGTGCTCCAATGTATTCGATCGCGGCGTTCACTTGTGTGTCTTGAAGTTTAACCGCATTTTGCAGAGAGTTGAGCAGATGCATTATCTCTCCCATTTTGGTTTTGATGTATGTCTCGCATTCAGTCCTTTCTACCGGAAAAGTGAATGGTGTGTTTATTTCGTTCACTTCCGACTCGTATGACTTCACGAGTGCGCAGGCATTGTTGATTTTTGACTTAAAAATCTGAAGCGCTGCCATTTTTGGTTTTCTGCACGGGGTAGGGTCGTGCACTGGTGTAGTGATTCCAAGCGTCCTAATTCGGACGTGTGTGTCCTCCTTTTGTTGGTCGCTTTGGCTTGAGGGCGGCAGCAGGGCTGGCCTCGATACGATAGCTGTCCTTACTGGTTGCAAGGAAGCTTTCTAGTGAGCTGGCAATGGAGTGCCGAGCGTCTACTAGCTGTCAGCAAGCGCGCCTGGTTGGCTTGTGCGCTGTACTGGACGGTAAGGTGTTGGAACCTGTCCCGTGAATGTAACGATCCAAAGCTCAAGATCGGTGAACCAACCGTGAATGAGCTTGGAAAGTTGAGATTTCTTTGCTAACTGTGGATGGACCAGTCAGTCAGCTAGAAAATCTCCTTGCTAAGCTATGGATATGACCTGATAGCTTCGCAAGATGAAACTCGTTTGTGAAAGTGGATGAACCAGCAATCACAGAGTGTTTTTTGGCTAATGGAAGCCAAAAAAGTTCGAGGATTTCTGTTGCTAACTGTGGATGGACCAGTCAGTCAGCTAGAAAAACCTCTTTGCTAGGCTATAGGTATGACCTGATAGCTTCGCAAGATGACTCTTGTTGTGAAAGTGGATGGACCAGCAATCAAGGAGTCTTTTTGGCTAATGGAAGCCAAAAAAGTTCGAGGATTTCTTTTACTAACTGTGGATGAACCAGTCAATTAGTTAGAAAACCTCTGCTAAGCTATGGATAGGACCTGATAGCTTAGCAAGACTCGTGTTAGTAAAAGTGGATGAACCAGCAATTACTAGAGTCGAATAATGGCTAATTAGTAGCCTAGAGTGCGAGGAGTTTGTCGCTAACTGTGGATGAACCAGTCAGTCAGCTAGAAACCTCTACTAAGCTGTGGATAGGACCTGACAGCTTAGTAAGACTCTTGGTCGCGAAAGTGGATGAACCAGCAATCACGAGAGTCGAATAGTTGGCAATAGAGCCTGCCACGCGGGTCTTAGGCCTTGATTTCCTGGGTCCTTAGAAGGAATCGCCGAGGAAATACAAGGAAAATCACTGGCCGATGCACCAATTTGGTGGGTACCAAGTGATTAGGGGTAGACGAGGTTGTGGAATATAGATTTATTCGCACTGGCGTAGATTAGTCGTGAAGAAGAGTGAGGTGTCCCGGTGTGGACCGGGGAGCAACCTTTAATACATTCGGAGGCTCCTTATATAGGAAGGAAGGCGGAGCTGAACCGAGTAAAAGGTACAATGTACACGAGTTGGTGCTTGAAAGGAGGTGCCGCCGATTGGCTACACTCCTGGCGCACGGGTACCACTCACTCTTGAGTGATTAGATACTCAAGAGTGAGTAGCTCACAATTTAGCCTACGGGTATTCCGTAGGCTATCTAGAATATAGAATTCATCAATGGTTGATGATACAGAAATCATCAACAACGAATACAATATTGGTTTTCGGGATTATCGATTACTTTTATCGATTTTATCGATTTTTTTGCAAAGTTTGAGCTAGGGGGCTGGGAGTTGGCACAGGGGGGTAATCGAGCATGCTGATCACCCCCAAGGGGGGTGATCAGCATGCTAGCCCTGTAGGTGAACTCTGCAAGAAAATCGATAAAAATCGGTAGAATCGACATCGATCGATAACGAAAAGTGGACTGTGACACCCGCCGGGGCCCGAAGTGTATGTGTGCCAAGTTTGGTCCGGATACGGCGGAGCCGGGTAAGCCAGCTAGTTTATTCATAATTTTTCATACTTTACTTTTGAGCATGGTCGCGAAGCTATTCACCGAATTTAGTGGCTCAACTTTGTTCACCGATTGTACACACCGATTATTTATATTTTGTGCATAAAGATTGTGTTTTGACAAATTGAAATCTTGTGCACACAAGTGTGAACACTTACCCTATTTGTAACGTGTCAATCTACCTGTTACTTGTAAAATGATGTCAAAGTTGAAATAAGGGCTTACTAAAGGTTAGCTTTCTCCCACTAATATTTAGTCAAATCTCCGTGAATCATCTTTGGGAACTTTACGAGTTTCCTTTTGCTTTTCTTCAAGAAGACGACATCCAGCGTGTGAAAGCGCCACCTCTGCTGAGCCCGTGTAGAGCTTGCTTTGCTCTATTGAAAGGTACCCTAAGGCTTCTTGATAATCAAGAAATGAGGAGATGGAACTTATGGGACAACCTGGTACGAAAAAGTCGTCTTTTTCCGAGTTTTTTGCTCTAAATTTGATACTCTTCAAAAACTACTGCCTATAAAAGCCCAAAAATTCATAGTTCCACCTCAAAAGGCTCATACTATGAAGTTGTGTGGGAGCATCTAGCGAAACCCTGGTAAGTACAAGAAAATTGTTTTTTCTTCTTCTCTGGTCACGCAAAAAAATAGCAAACCTACAGATAACACCATATGTGAGAAACACATGCTGGAGCAGAGGAAAAGTTTGTAGAGATCATTAAAAGGAGTTGCAATTTCTTCTCGACTCTCCGAACTCCTTGGATTTTGGCCTCGAACTCCTTGTAGAACGAGCTTCGAGCAAATAATTTGGTGCCATCTAGTAGAGCTTTGTGCGCTCCGTCGAATAATACCGCAGAGCCTATTTGGGTACCAAGGCGGATAAGAGTTATTGTGCGGGAAGTAAAAACGGTAAACAATAATATGGGGAACCTTGATACAACTGTCATACTGCGCAGTTTTTAGATATTTAAGGTGTTGCCCCGAATCAACGAGTCTCATGTCATCTCTTCCATTATCTCTCAATGAGAGCATAATAGGGAGTAGGCAAGGTATATTTAAAAAGTGTGCGATTTAGTCTTTATAGTTGTAAATTTGCCCTGCAGAACTATAGCGCCAGGACGAAGTTAAGATTTCTAAAAATTGTGCCGTAGAACTTTTGGTTCAGCTTAATATCATATGGTAAACTAGTACATATCGTTGCCTTTTGTATTATATTCGATTCATGCACTACTCATTGCACATATATGAGAACAGCAGTGATTAACGCATTTGGTCAAAGGTGATGGAGAGGTGCTACATGCATGTATATTTACGATATTATCTTTGCTTCCAGGCAGATTTTAACTCGAAATCAGTCATCCATGATAGACTATGGCTACTTATTCAGGGTAAAGCATTCAGTTATTTATTTTTCAATTCTTCTTGTAGCTTAACGTTGCAAACTCACATGCCCTTACATTACAGTAGCGCCACAAGTTGCCCGCATTTGTTAACCAGTACTTCTACTATACTATTTGCGTTTCAAAACGTACACTGAGCAGAGTGACATTCTCACATCTTTGCCATTGTATGTAATGCCACTGAACAATGTCTTGACACATTGTTGTAATGGAAAACCTCAACGTCTCTATGCATCAATAGATAATCTGGTCCTCAACAGGGAAAATAATTGAGACTTACCGCATTGATCATAGATTAGCGGCAGCAAGATCTACGACTATTACTCTTCAGGTGATTGATACAGTTACTAATTACTTTGAGCGTCGTGCACTATGTGAATGCAACTCGGCATACCTCTCGTGATACGAAGGCATGCTCCAACAACCTCAGCCCATGTACTAGTGAAAAACCTGCCTTTTAACACTATACTCAAGTGACTCCTATTTGAGGGGGTTTCCATAATTTGTCTCTTCTCAACATTCGTGAACCAACCACAACAAAAATCCCAGTGTAATAATGACTGAGCTTGTTCAAATATATTTATTCTCGACTTATTTACAGAAAGGCATTGAACTGATGCTAATATGAGTTGAGCATTGGTCCTCACAAGCAAACAACAGATATGGTGATTATCCCGAAATGTCGCATAATCCGGAGCTTTCATAGAGTAAACAAGGACCAAATGTATTGCTATTGTAGGAAAAAACAATATTAAAGAAGGAGATCACTATCGATGCTTTCTAAAATGAGGACATAAAACCTATTTCTAACAACGACGTAAGGTTCTTCACAAATTGAAAGAGAAAAATGAGGTACCCGTCAACGGATCTTGTCTCAGAGCAGAGACAACCGAAAGTAAGACGTGTTCATACGATATGAGCAGAACGATGATAATGCTTTGCCAGCACTCAAGGCCGTCAATCATGCATATGCAAGATTTAGAGCTCTGGACATGAGATTGCCGTCGGTTCTCGTTGAACCGATACTTTTAAGGCAGATGTTGCGCTAACACTAGTGCGTACGGCTCGCCCAGGAGTTCGAAGAAGCTGTTCGAATTCCCACTGAAAATGATAGATAGGCTTCGAATCTAGTGTCCAAAAAAAGCTCTGAAAAAGTTACCTGAACATCGCCGATGTCGATTTTGACTGGCGGCAGCGAGTATTTTGGGTGAAGATAGTCATTATACTTGTGGGGAACGACAGGAAGGTTCAGAGAGTGTTTCTTTTTGTCCAAATGATGATTTGCGGCCGCGTATTTTCGCGGGACCTGTTTTAGCATATCCAGTGATGTGCTGTAAATACTAAAGTGTTACCCATACAATAAATAAATTATGTGAACACTTAAATTCAGCAGCACCTGGAGGAAACTGAATCAATCTCTACGTATTTTGTGTTCCTTCGCGGTGATTTCACTGAGCTAAACGGGATTTCTTTGCGAGGATGGCACCTGAAAAGCGAAATTTAGTCGAAGCACAGTGATGTTGCGCTTATTGTTCACTTACCGAGTTGGCACAAGCGTACACCAACCCATGAAGAATGCAATTAAAACTATAGTATAGCCAAAAAGAATTCCTATAGTCACGTAGAACCACATGCGACAACGGGCATCGGGCGCTGAAAGTAAAGGATAAGCGACCGATGAAATAACGAGGTCAGCATTTAGACGTACGTAGGTGTGATGATATACAAAACGCAAGATTTCCAGAAAAGAAAGTGACTTTGTGACAGCATGATCACATACCTTGACCTTGTGAGAGAAACTTATTGCGTATTACTGACCAAGAGAGACGTGTAAGTGAAATTTTCTATATATATGTACTCGTAAAAATGTTCAAGCCAGATAGTAGAAAAGCAGAATTCTTTGATAAATTCGGTAATCATAGCATAGAGTGAGCTCGTAAGCAGAGGATGGCAAAGATGTAGCATGATGAGCTGCTACAAAAATCAACCCCAAAACCTTCCACACAGTCCTGGTAGAAGTTCTAGCAGATGCTGCAGCTTTGTAAGTTCTCGCTAATATCTCAACTTATCTCCCACCTAGTGACTGTCTAAGGCGCTGAACTGATTGCAAAACAAATTACAGATGTAACAATAATCTGATACTTAGTGTTTGCGCATGATGACTACGACTGTCCTGAGTTCTTCTAAATTCAAGCAAGGGAAACATAAAAGTTATGAAAGTGAGCAAGTTAATCGCTTGTAAGCGTGAAACCGCAGCCTAACCATAAGATCATCACAAAGATCAAGAAAAGTCTAAAATTGAATCTTCAAAAAACAGCAACTCTGAGCATTAAATTCCTAGGCTATAACTTGCATATTTGATTGTACATGACGGCAAAGCAACTTCTAGGATATCGTTGAAATAAACATATGAATAAATTACCAGAAATACTTGTATACACGCATGAACGGTTAAGTTTTCCTGAAATGCAGATTGGGAATGCAAATAAGTCTTTAATGGAGCTTCCAGCAGGGGTGAGAGAGCGTAGATATATTGAACAATTTCTGACCTTCCTCTCAAAGTAGCTAATGAGAAGGCGAAAGGGAATATAAGACATCGATTTCATATGTAGATCGTAACGCCTTGTTTGGCCAGAGGCTAACCTCCGCCAGGCCATAATACAACAATAACCCAAAAATCGCGTGATCGTTTCCGTTTGGTATTATAACCTCGCAGAGGATATCCCTAAGATGCATGTACTCTAGCACTAAATAAGTTTGCGACGTCATAGTGAATACGACATTGTCAGATAAAATGATAATGTTCGGTCAAATAGAACTAGATTACCAAAGAAGCCTTTTGTTCACAAAACTATTTACGAATCTACACTGATGACTGACATTCACTAAGCTCAAAACTAAAACATAGTCTTTTCACACTTGTAGGCGGTACAGACACACAACACCTCTCTTGGAGAAAATGCAACTAACTGGAGAACAATGACTCCGGTGTAAATAACCACCAGTACCTATGAAAAGCAGCCATCAACCAGCGAACCCAGAGTGAAGTTCAAAAAAAGCAAAGCGTGGATTCCATGTGCATAAGATGCGAGTAAATCATCAGCAATCAAATGAATCCAGATTAAGTTCATTGTTTGGAGCAAGAATATTTTAACGGATCCGGAGGAGACGGAAGATTGCCTTCCTTCAACAATGCCTTCTATAGCCTTTATTTCAATCGAAGATGAACGTGCATAGTAAATTCTAAAAATGCGATTCACTTGTTTTTTGACTTATAAAAAGTTTGGCCAAGTTAGATTAGGGTCTTCTCTTGCAAAAAACTATCGTAACCTTTCAGCATACTGACTTTAACATAAGACTTTAACACACACACACACACACACACACACACACACCATTGCATTGTTGTGAATGGTAAGCAAGTCTGCTCCTGCGCTATTATGGTCGAGGAAACCATCAGACAAAAATGAAAGGATGATGAGCAATCGAATTCATCCTATAACGGGTTTGATCATTTGAGTTTATCAATGTTTGTTCAAAATTAGTCAAGTTATAAACACAAAAGATGATGAGCAAGTAATACAAAGTGCGAAGAGCCAGAAGTCACCAAAATAGAATAAACTTTGTGACATACCCTACGCGCCTTTATCAGGTTACAGAGTGCGAATAACTCGGATTAGAGATTAAGAGCTTCTGACGTAAATGCGAAATCACATTCGAGCAGGCTAGTTTGATATTTATTCCCTTTGCATGACTGTCAGGAGCCATTTTTATGAAGAAACTTCCCAAGATGGAATAGCTAATGCGAATATATGTAAAAACGCGGATTACGTACTACGTATTTATAGTGCACAGCACAAGCGACGAATATGACATTGCGGAGCTAAAGATAACATATGAGAACGTAAGCAAAATACTGGATAAATACGCATTGGCGTGATAGTTTAATCAAAGCATGGACATAGGATCTCGAAATGGTTGGCTTTCTTGGCAAAGGGAATCTTGGCAAGAGATCGCAAAGTTGAATAAAAGACGAGCTCGTGGATGACTGGGTGGATGAATAAAGAATGAATGAAGAATGAAAGAATGAATGAATGAATGAATGAATGAATGAATGAATGAATGAATGAATGAATGAATGAATGAATGAATGAATGAATGAATGAATGAATGAATGAATGAATGAATGAATGAATGAATGAATGAATGAATGGATGAATGAATGAATGAATGAATGAATGAATGAATGAATGAATGGAATGAATGAAATGAATGAAATGAATGAAATGAATGAAATGAGATGAAATGAGATGAAATGAATGAAATGAATGAAATGAATGAAATGAATGAAATGAATGAAATGAATGAAATGAATGAAATGAATGAATGAATGAATGAATGAATGAATTAATGAATGAATGAATGAATGAACGATTGACTGGATGAATGAATTGCGAATGAATGAATAATATAATATTACAAGATAGATACAGCCTTCGAAATTTCACAGCTGCTTTCCGCAATTTCGACATTGCTCATAAAAGGACAACTGCTCGTCACCTCCCTCGCCTTCTGCATGATAAAAGCGAGGACATCCATTGTTATTTGTACAAGTGCAACATAAAAGCGCACCGCAAATACGCTGCACATAGCTCCGACAAATTTGTATGCAGAAAGGTTGTGCAGGTCTAAAAATACCCAGCATATGTACGTCAGAATGACTATTAGCGGAAGGCGAGTGCGCATCACAAAAATTATGCATCAGCAGAGCTAGCTGTTGTTATTTCAGCAAAAATATAAAAAGGGTCTTGTCTGCAGCATTTGCACTTTTCGACACCATTCAAAAACTTGGCTTCCCTACCATTTGACAAAAAATGTGTCTTTATGCTCCCAAAGTGAGCAATAAACAAATGCAAATCGGCTTTGCCTAAGCAGAGCTATATGTAGCCTTTTTGAGGATGGCTCACTTAGCTACAGAGGAACAAAATGATGGTCAGCTTGGCTGAGGCAAGGCATAAAAGGCAATTTTGATTTCCTGATTTGTGCTTTTCCACTACAATGTGCGTTGATATGATGACGCATCGATGAGACTGGATCATTTTGCGATTACGGAAATGTTTGAGATTCTAAGGTTTCATATATAATAATAATCAAAAAAATGGTGACTGAAAAAAAACAGTGACAGAAAATCAAACATGCTTCTTTGATATCACTTCATTTAGATGACATTCTTATATACTTCCCGCGACCCGTTATAATTATTTCACCATTTTTTGGCTTGCCTACTAATCACCCAGTAATCACGTTATTTATGAATTAACGATATCAAGTGATGGATGGGAAGTAACCACTCATTCGCTCATATCAAGCGACTTATTTATTTATTTATTTATTTATTTATTTATTCATCCATTCATTCATTCAGTCTTTCAGTCATTCAGTCATTTAATTCGCTCATTTCTTTCACTTGTTAACACATGGTACTTCTCAGACTAAAAGTCTTCTCAGAAAGTAACAAATATTTTTCATCACATGAAAGTTTATTAGACATCATTCCTACCAACCGGAAGCACCTGTCAGTGAGTTTGTTATGTCTGGGTTAATGCATAAGATTTCGTAAAGAGCACAATGTCCGCAGTGATCTGTGGATAACGGAAAAGAAAAGAGCATATCTTTTAGAATATATTCGGAAATTTTACAAATCAAAAATTGAGAGGCTATTCAACAGAGGGCATTCGTTAAGCACTAGTTTTTCATAGGTATCGCGTAAATTTGAGCAAATGATATGGAACCATTGAGAAACTAGGAAATTCTAAAAAATGAAAAGACGAGGGGGGGGGGGGGGTAAATAACGATGAACGAAGAATGTTGCTTATTACTAGAACATACTTGTGTATTCGACATCAATAAATTCATCATAAAAATTTGTTGTATTTCATTATGATAAGCTTTACTATACAAAACAAAATGAGAACCAAGTAAGGTCAACAAAACCACATCTTTTGTCACCATCATCGTCAACCTTTGGAACGAAAAAAACTGGAGTAACACAAAACATAGTCGGTTGTCTCACATATCAATCACGTAGCATTAGCACGACGATTTACAGCATTAAAAATGATCCAGCAAATTACTCGGAGCAGTAAACGAATAGACTATAGTGGTCCTTGGACTATGGTAGCAGGAAAATTAACAGGCCTACGAGAAAAAAGTTGTTTTGATGAATACTGATTACTGCCAACTTGCTTAGCATTTATAGTTCCTGATCTTCGCTTGATTTTACAAGTAAATGGCAGAAAGATTACTGTAAGTCTCAGCTATTTTGGGCCTAATCTATGGCGACTAGGGCTGTAAAGTTTGCAGCTAATCGTGTACAACAACGAAAGACATATGTATCATCTCCATGGCATAAGATGGTAAATAGATAAAATTGGTGTGCAAGAGATTAGACACCATCGCAAACACAACAATTAGCTGATCGTGTGACCTACGGCTGTTTTCTGTGAACAAATGAAAGCGTTGATTGCTGACAAACGATTCTGATTTATGAAAGCTTAGATCGCTTTCGAAAAAGTGGAGTTGAAGATACTTCTAAAAAAAGCGGGTCTCGAGCAGGTCATACAACTTCACCAAAACGCCATGGTCCAGTCGTGAC